CTCTAAGACAGAGCTTTTCCGGTCCATAAAACAACTGAAGAACATCAGCTTAGCATTCCTGTTTTCTTGTCACTTCATCTTTCCTTCTGTTTTTCAGTTAGGTATTTCACAGGCGTTCCTCTGTTTAGGCCAGCCGTGCCATACTGAGTCCTCTCCTCACATCTCTTCCAGTAGGTCTTTCCAGACCCAGTGCTTTAGGAATGTCAACATGCATAAATTGTTATTGTCATCCGGATGTTTCCTTTCCCCCCCTAATGTCACTTGGCATCAGGGGAACTACAGTAGGGAGTCTCTGACACTGTAGGCAAAATATTCTCATGTTATTTTTATAATCCTGTCCAAAGTACAGCTAGAAAGACAAAGATACTAAGGACAGATGCTTGGAGGCATGCACTGTGTGAATAGAGAACAAAATGTGAAGGATGTTGTCTTTCACGCTGTTAACCCCTGGAGTAATAAAGCCATCCTTCCAGCAGTACTGGGTCAAGGGAGCTAAAATGGCCCCGCTCAGCACTTGAGAGTGTGCTATGTTTAAAGTACATTTGACAGTCACTCTGATGCACTTGGCATCCATTTGTAAACCTAGGGGTCACGACCTTCAACTGTTTCCTTGTTGTGGTTCAGTTTAAGTGAATGGCAGGCTTCCTTTATTTCTGATACAAAGTTGAATATATCTAATGACTGCCTTTGATGCCCCTGTTTGCTTTGTGACTGCTGTTATGATGCACAAAGAGAAGTGACTACATATTATAAATGTCTTCCCCTCTCCTGTTCACAAGAAAATGAGAGCATGAACTGCGGTCTTTATGGTGTTTGGTTAAGTATTATTGTTATTATTTGTGTTTAAAAGATGAGGTATTGCTGCATTGAGGTTTTCTTCCATCTGCTCAAAAGCAGAGGCCTGCTGTCAGCTTTATGGGTCTGGTAAACAATAGCAGGTAGCACAGCAGGGGCCTAAATTGTAAACTCTGATGTAGTCAAGATAAAGTTAATTTCCGTGTGGGTGCCCTGCAGACAAGTAGCTCAACTGAATAGTTTTGTCAGAAAAGATTTAGTAGTCTGATGAACATTGTACAGGAATTACAAGAGAACATTGTAAAAGTGTGGTAAACATTTTTAATAAGAAGTGTTACTGTAATGTTACCTACCACCTGCCATGCATTTCATGTAGGTAAAAAATGCTGCAAATTGCAGCTTTAACTTACAGTTGCAGCGTTAACTGTCATATTTGTTTAAAATAACCCTAACCCTGTGGCGTTGACAGCCAGATATGTAAACACAATGCAGCTTTTTTATTTGGTCAAAATCATGATATGGTTTTTAAAAAAAGAAGAAGAAGAATTCTGTTCTTGTTCTGTTTCTGGCTCTCAGTGAAAACTCAGTCCCCACATACTTCAAGCTTTTCTTTGATCAGCTCTGTAATTTTCTAATAGTGTCAAGATGCTGACCTCTTTCACTCAGCACTAATGTTCAGGTTCTTTTCATACCGCTGCCTCGACCTTCACACAGCTGGCACTGTGGTCACTTCCTAGTGATGTCACTCAGTTAGCCTTTCCATTCACCAACACTTCAGTTCACCAGCAGACATTTAGTGATCATGTTTGTGTTGTTAGAATTATGCTGTTTACATTTCTGTTTCTATTACAGAATGTGTTTTTAGTGACATTTGTACTTTGTCATATTTACAGCTGTTTTTTTTTTGTTATTTTAATGCTTGTCAGGCTAGTAGCAGAAATGTTTATTTTAATGTCTTGCTTTTGCTCTGAAATCTTCTGTCACCCTTAAAATATAGCGATCAGTCTTCTTGGGTGCTTTTTGGCTCCTTTCAGAGCTTTTCATGTCTCATAAACTTGGGCACACTGGAAGCTTTTATTATAAAATTTGACTGGATTCAAACTTTACTGTGGAAATGTGGCTGTTAAATGGGCCCTTTTGAAAGGAATAATAGTCACCTTTGCTACTTGGACTGAATTTATGATATTCTTTCCTGTCGACTATCATGGATTTCCCCTATCTTTTTAAAACATGCAGATTTTTCATGTTCTCTGATCTCTGAACCTCAATTGCATCTTACTTTTCATTCATCTGGAAACAATCAGCTGCATATGTGCATATTCGGATGTAAAAGTTATGTTGTCATATTTGACTAGCCAGCCAACACTGTAAATGGGTGGCATTTGGATGATGTGACACTTGCTTCCACATATTAGCCTTCCTCTATCCAAGCTGTTCTGAGTTACACTGACAGAACTAGAGGTCAGAAGTCGTACAGATACATTCTGATATGATTGGCACTTGGGAGGCTCATGGTTTCACACATTGGGGATTATCCTCCATTTGCCAGAATGTTCTTCTTAGTGACCCTGAGGGGATGACTTCATGATTGGCTGATTGAGGGGAGGTGTGCATGTGTGTGAAGTCACATGGTCATGATCATGAGCAACTAAGTCCAGAAAAGGATTGCACTGCGATCTGGAAACAGCACTTCAGTGTAGCCATCATTTAATATAATAGAAAGTAATGGTTGAAAAGGGGGATTTCAGCCAGGACCAGACATGTAACTACAGCGCATGCTTATATTCTGAATTTATTGCCTTCTGTCAATGAATAAATTGATGACAGGTTACATTTTATAGACCACAGAGCCACAGATTTACATTTTCTCTGTGTACCTATTCTCTTTTTCAGTGAGTAAGCACAATGGGGATATAACTAAGCCCAGAAACACACAAAAGACTGAAGTTGTGTGCTTTAAAGCTCAAGCTGAGATCAAACCCTTGGGAATGACTGCATGTGTGGTTGTGTGTCCACAAATGCACTGAATGCATATGTTAATTCAAACCCTGTGAACAACTGTGCACTGTGGTATGTTTTCTCATTGTCTCTTTCCCCTGCTCCTTCCATTTGTGTTCCCCATTATCCCTTATTCCACTTGTAAGCAAATCTAAATATAGACCAGGAATTTGCTTAGGGGGCACTCTCTTAGTAGTGGTGGTTAAAGAGAAGACAGGGTATGTGCTGTAATTGTAAATGCATGTGTACAGTCTAAGGTTGGGAAGAGAGACAGAGAAGCGTAAAGACTATCTGGCAGTTCCTCCTGGCGCTTGCTGTTTTCCAGCTGCTGTGCAGCTTATTTGTCCCTTCCAACATGAGGAGCCCCTTGCAGTGGCCATTTTGCCTTTGCTGAATACCTTTTCAAATACCTCTTTACCTCCACATAAAGAGGTATTTGAAAGGTTTCACCCGCTTTAACACAACCCACATGGAGACAGGTCCAGGGCCTTTTCAGCCTTTTCTCCCCACCCCATTGCTTGGAAAATCTTACAATTCTACAGAAAAGAAGTGCACACATCCTGTCCTCATTAGGCCAGGGAACGGAGAGGGATCTGGCAGGGCCGATCCTATGGAAGCCCAACACATGAGCCCGGCCTAACAGAACAGGCAGCTGGGCAGGCATGCTGCTGCGTTTTATATGACTCTTGTTCTTAGTCTTTGATGATACTGTTTAGAATAGGAAATATCTAATAGATCAAGTATTCTGTCTAATGTGCTGCCAGTGGGTTTAGGATTTGCCTCGAGGTCTTGAAACACTATCTCCCCCACAGCAATAATGTACATTTAAAATTCTCATGAAGTGGTGGGAGGGGGCAGTATAGAGAACACGAGGGGGAAGCTGAGAGTATATGCTCTAATAGCAACCATCTGCAGGTTAGAGCCAACGAGGGTGGGATAGGATGGGACACACCTTAGGCTGAAAACTTGCTTTCTGTGTGTGTTCTGAAGTTTCACTGCATCATAATCATGTTTCAAAAGACAGCAGTAGCTAACTGAAACTGACACTGTACCCATTACATGGATAGGATTAATAAGCGGCTAAGAGTTGGACATGTTATTGGAAATGATGATGATGTATAGGCCCAAATCTTTTCATAGTGCACCTGATCAGCCAGAAACAGTTGAAGTGATGCAGTGGTTCAGTAAACTGGAATGGCCTAATGTGTTTACCTCTGCCCTCTTTGCCCTGTCTTTTTCCATATGTTTCCTTCTGATCTTCTGTTGGCCTCGGCTCCGCTGCAGGAGAGCAGGGAGTGCTTTTGTGGGCATGTTTTTTTTTCTCTCTCTCTCTCTCTCTTCTGAGCATTTCCAAAATATTTTCCATGCACTTGGGGAATTTTTGAAAACTAAGTGCTTATGTTTATTCAGCTTTTTAAATTTTTTTTACCCATGTGTCAGTTTTTCATAAACATGTCCAGTAATTTATTATTTGGTAGTTACTGTAGAAGTTTGCCTCCTTCCTGTCATATAGGAACCAGCAGCGGCTTCTTTGTAGTCTTGTAGATGGCATGCTTTGGTAGCGGAATAAATTTTTTCTTGAGTCCTAGCAACTTACTGTACTCACACTGATTTATAGCCTTTGTCACTGAAAGCTTTTTATTTCCACAATGGCTGGAGCTTTCCCAATATCCATTAGATGGAGCCAAGCATAAAATCACAGCTGCTTTATACACAGTACCACAGTTACTGCACACAACACTTGAATTTGCCAGGGTGAGACTCTTCCCTAAAGATATTTCCAATATTGCAAGAAGTGCTAAATGATTTCTAGACAGAGAAAGTCCCAGAGCATGCCTTTAATGTCTCTGTGACTGTGTAATGCATTCCATTTGGTTTGTTTGTCCATGGGGTCAGTCAGACGAATTATTTGGTTTGTCCATCTGCAAAGGTTCCAAACAACAAACAAATGTTATGTTACACACACACACTGTTCACTAACAATTGGAATTGCCATTCTATCTCCTTTTTTAGCCTGGTTCTTCTTGAAAATTTGCTCATATAACATGGAAACTTAGTTCGGCCTGTGAAGGTAGCAGGTAAAGCACAATTTTTTGCAGTGAGGCCACTTCCTCTCCCTCTTGCAGCCATCTCCAGTTGATTTCAGTGTCCAAAAAGCTGAGGGTCAGTGTGAACATGGCCTTACCCTTCACTCTTTCTGTGTACAGGTGCGTCGACATGAGCAGGAGTGCGGAAGTCGTGACCCTGTGGCAGGTGTGGACTCCTCTTCACGTCACAGCGGGACTGGGCAGGACAGCGGCTTTGGCAGCGACAGTGCTCGCATCCGCATTGTCCAAATAGAGCAGCAGTGTGGGGCCAGCCATCACTGCATTGCTAGGCCCTCCCACAAGTCCACCATTACCAAGAACCTCAGCTTCATTCCTTTTGACATCTTTCTCACTGCTAGTAGGCTATCTGTCATGACCTATGCTTGCTCCAGTCCCCAAAAGGCCCTTCCCTCATCATCGAACACCCCCAGCACACTGGAGGAGAAAGAATCTGGGAGTAAGGTAAACAAAAAGCCTTTGGTTTGGACGCTCTCACATGAGTCAGTCCCTGGATCTGTCAGTTGTCCATGTGTGTATAATTATTCATACCATACACAATAGCAAGATGTGTCATTTATGCGAGCATTGCTTTGGTACATAGACCAATATTGCATGTTTTTTTTAAACAGCTTTATAATTTAGAAGGGCATTATGTGGTTGATGAGGACATTTTCATACTGTCCAAATTTATATAACTGAATTTAATCTAATCTAGTGATGTGTTGTACTGTAACATGAATTTGTACAGTACAGTACAGTTAGTCAGTGTGGTGTTCTCTTCAGTCTGCCTCTGCCCAGCTAGCTGCCTGAGAACCTTCAACGTACATGTATGATTTATACTAAAAGGCTGCTCTTTACACCGAGTCCAGGTTAATGCTATCCAGACAGGTACAAAACAGCTCAGTATTACCCCACAAAAAATAGTTGTCATAGGCATTCAGAACTGTAGAGCTTTTATTCCTGCTAATGAGACTGTCTACTGTATGGTATTCTTCTGCATTTGCTGTAGAGG